CAGCACCGCGGACAGCGCCGGGCCCGGCTCCCCAGGTTTCCGGCCCGAGCCGGCGGACGCGGGCAGAGAGGGAGGGCTGCTGCTTGAGGTTCTTCATTTCCTCTCTTCTTTGGGTGTTCTCTTTGGAATACCCACCGTCACCTCCGTCCCCATTTGACTTGGAGGAAGCCAGAAGGCTTCCTAGGCCAACCCTGAGATTCTCGGTCTTTTCGGACCTGAGCTTCCCCATAGATGGGAAGACAGCATGTCGCCCTACGAGGGAAACCCGCGTTTCCAGCTCCCTTCTACAGTGTCACGCGCTCTCGCTCCCTGTCTAGAGGTACTGTTGTAGTCAGATTCCTGTTTGGCTTTTTACGGCCAGATGACCACAGTGAGGCAGGGTTACATGCAGTGCGGTTTGGTTGACACCCGCACAATTTCCTGTAGTACCAGTATTACCATTTTTATATAAATGCAATGAGGCAAACCAACTCTTGTATGCGTCCAAGATGTACCTTTTTTCTTGTGTTCTTATGTGAATGCGTTCATGTATTTGTGGACAGATGTGACATATTTCTGCTGTGTATTTCCACATCTAGAGAGAGGTAATTTCACATTCAAATAAATCAATTTTCCAGTTATGAATGGAAACTGCACTAGGCATTTTGACTTTGTACTTCCAGGAAAATAACTAGAGTATAAAATAACCACAGAAGTATCTCTGGAGTAGTAAAAAAAAAATGTTTTTGTCAATTTAGGAGAATGAAAATGTAAGTAGTACATGTTTGACAGTTTCTCTTTATGTGTGGAAGATTATGAGATTAATCTTTCAGTCTATTCTGAATCTCAAAGAAATGATCTCTGAAGATGTGAAAGGTGCGTGTGTGTGTGTGTGTGTGTGTGTGTGTGTGCACTGAAATAACTACAGTCTTGAGACTACTGAAAAGTAAGTATACCAACACCAAATAAAGTCAAGATTTGCCTTGGCTGTTTAATGACTTACAGAAAATTGTTTGCTCCTGAGATTGAGACTCCTAAATAGGATTGAGATATTGGACATGAAGATATTATTGACACGGATTAATGAATCAAAACTGTTGAGAAAAAAATAGAAGCCAGTGGTAACTAATTTTATTGCAAGGAATATGCATTCAGAATTTTCTACATTTTTTGTCATTATTACAAATTGCTAACTAGTTGTTCTCCATTTAATTAAAGAAAGCCAAATAAATAATTTAAAATTATATTATATTTTCAGCAAGGAATTGCTTTAGAGACCAAAAGGATAAGTAGTACATTGTGCAATAGGCCACAGGAACAGTGCTATTGTGGTAAAATACAGAGTTTTTATATAAAACAATATTTTAGTAAAGGTTCATATTGGAATATCAGCTAAAATGGACACATGACATTGTTTTAAACTGTTTTCTATTGAGATACAATTCACATATCACAAAATCTGCCCTTTTCTAGTACACGATTCAATGGTTTATAGTACATTCACAGATCTTCCCTTCACCGTTATCACACTTTAGGACATTTTCATCACCCTAGAAAGATTAGCGCTGTGCCCATTAGCACTAACCTCCCCACCTCCCACCCCCAGCCCCTGGCAATGGGAGATAATAGCCTTCAAGTAGAGTTTATTACTTAGCAAAGTCACAGGGCTGGGGAAAACCTCAGGAAACAATCTAGTTCATTTCATATCCTTAAGAGCGTTTACAGGGAGGGGCACACTTTCTATGGCAGCTACTGTGCACTTTCAAAATGAACATGTATGAAGTAGCCACATAGTATTCATGTAATACTCGCTAAGATTATTTTTGCCATCTAGATCTTTCCTGCCCTGAATTTTAGGAGGAACTTGGGAGTCTTCACACCTTTTTAGTAGAAGGACTTCCTTAATCTATTTTTGCAGTTATGTTTTTAAGCTAGGATCCAACCTTAATAGTTTTATGAGATATTAATAAATTAGAAGATATTCTCAGATTTATTATATAGCCTGACAAATGTTTTGTGTGTTTTGATTACTTCACTGTTAACATGAACATTCAGTTTTTTTCTTGCTTTCCGTAATAACAAGTTGAGCTACTCTAGGGTAATCAGCATACCATGCTTCAGTTACTACTTTGCCACCACAAATTCTACTGAGAATAGAATTTTCTGCCCCTGCGTGGAGTGAGATGACTTTGTGCATTTGAGTCACATGGCCTCCAGAACCAACTCAAGCCGTCTTCCGTTCTTTTTCTCCTTCAAAGCTGTCGGCTCTGTGCCTGTGGATAACAGAAACCACAATGAGGAAGTGGTAAGTCGAAGTCTAGAATTCAGACTTTGTCTGGGCTCTAGATTCCTCCATACCCTATCACACCAAACCAAATGAATGCACACAGTGCCAGGTTTCCCTCATGCCGAGGGGGTAGGAGCCAGGACGCCTCTCCCGCCTTGAGGTCCTGCATCCCTCCTGGAGGGCCTAGCGTCCCTTCTCAAGGTAATCACAGCTCAGTGCCTTCTCGTATCAGCCTGTGTAGGACTGGGGCCTCGGGAGGCTTCATCGCAGCCCTGTAAGCCCAGTCTCTGACCTAAGTGCCCTTCATGAGCGCAGCTCACAGAGTCAAGCCTCCCCGGAAGCAGCTCTGGGTTAAGTCAGAGCCACGATGGCCTCAGTTTCTCCAGCCCCCTTGTGTGTCTCCCCAGGTGACTCGCTGCATCATCGAGGTCCTCTCAGATGCTCTGTCCAAGTCCAGCGTTCCACCCATCAGCCCCGAGTGCCGGCAAGTCCTGAAGAAGAGTAAGTGTCACTGTGCGCAGACCTCTGTCCCTGCATCATCTTGGCTCCTGCTCCCTCCTTTTCCCCTCCAGTGAACTCAGGGTCCTCCTGGGTGTTGGATGACCAGGCTAGAACTTGGGGAGACAGAGATTGGTCTTGTCGTCGTTACTGTTGTACTTCTTAGGAGCTGTGTGACCATGGGGAAGAGTCCTCCTTGCCTCTCTGTTGATTCTTTCTTCAAAGTAAAATGAAGGAGGTGAACTTAATGATAGTCTATCAATTCTTAAATTCCTTGGATTCGTATTTTGGATTTTTACTTTGTTTGTTTTTGTTTCATTTTATGGCACTGGGGATTGAGCCCAGGACCTTTACACTGAGCTGCTTTCCTAGCCCTTTTTAATTTACTTTCTATTTTGAGACAGGGTCACTGAGTCACTGAGTTAGTTACCCAGCTGGGCTCAAACTTGTGATCCTCCTGCCTCAGCCTCCCAAAGTACTGGGATTCTAGGCATGCATTTGCACTCCCAGCATAGTTTAGAATTTTAGAACAGCCCTCCATTTGGGTGGATGGAGGGATGGAAAGTGCTTGTTTGTGATTAGAGGAGGGGGGCTAGTTGTGGGGGTCCTGGAATATAAAATGATAGAATAACATCTCCTGATATTTAAATATTGCCTTGGAATTTGAGTTGTGTAAAAATGCTGTCTGTTCGGGCTGAGCAGAACTCATCTCTGGGTCACCGGTTTGCAGCTTCTGTGCTATTTTAGTTCTCTCTTGGCAGTATGTCAGAAGCTAATTGGAAGACGTGAGATTTGGGCAACAGGATGGATGAATCCCTTCCCGAGGCTTTGGGCCCGTTCTGAACCCATCTCCACTTGCACACATTGCATCGGCTCGCATTCACTGAGCTAGTGAGCATTTGGGCAGAAGGGAGGAACCGGTGTTTTATGGCTGGAAGAGATGGCAGGGAACGCACAGTCCCATTGGTCAGCAGACGTGAATCAGATCTTTCTGACCAGGGTTGATTTGCTCATCTTTGCAGCATAACAAGGATGAAATATGCATTTTCCCCCTGTTAACTTGAAAGTAAGGGTAAGCTTCACACCTTGGTTTTACAGATTGATGGTGGCCGCCAGCTGCTAATCGCAGCCCTGTTCCAGTCTCACCTGTAGGGGCTTAACGCTAAATTTAGGATGATGCTAAGCCTCAGGCCAAAATGCTACAGGCAGTACAACATTAACTGGGAAAAAACAAAAAACTTCTGTTCCTGACAGTTACGAGCCACACATACCAGCAGGCAGCAGGAAAGGGCACACGGCTTCTGTTCTGGAGGCTGAGATCCTGTCTGATCCGTTCTCCTTCAGCCTCTTAGCTCACGATGCTACAGCCAGAGACCAGGCAGCTCCAACAACAAGCATTTGTTTCTCACAGTGGCAGAGGCTGGTGTCCAAGATCAAGGGGTCTGGTGAGACCCACTTCCTGGCTTTAGAAAGCCACCTTCTCACTGTGCCCTCCCACAGCTCATGTCTCTTCTACCTAGAGCACCACGCCCATCACTGGGGCTCTTCGTGGCAGAAGTATCTTCGGCAGGCCCCACCTCTCGAACCATCACACTGGGCCCGCGGACCCCACGTGTGAATTTTGGGATAACGCGCTCAGCTTCCCTGCTGCCCTGTGCCCACGTGCTAGCCCTGCCCTGCCTGGCAACCTCTGAGCCCGCCCTCGGTATCTGGATGTGGAAGTTCAAGGACTTTCCTGTTGCCTCAAAAACATGAGAATATTATTATCATACCAGGCCAGGCTTTAAAAAGAGAGTACAGGACAGTCCACTACTTGCAGGATGTTTTGATAAAATTGATCAATTGTCTTCCCTTTTGTCAAAATCAGTTCAGAAATGACTCATCAGTGCCATTTTGGGGGGGTTACTGGGGATCAAACTCAGGACCTTGTGCTTGTGAGGCAGGCAGCAGTTCCACTGAGCTAAATCTCTGGCAGTTCCATTTGATAAAAATGTAAGAAGAGCCAAAATATAATTTCAAATTTCCCAGTAACAACATTTATGAAGTATTTCCAATAATATATTTTATTTTTATACAATATATTTCATCTAATGTAGAATATATATAACCAATGTATGTGTACTGTTTATTTAATGTATACAAAATATTATCATTTCAACATATAGTCAATACAGAAAATTATTGAGACATTTTACATTTTCCTTCCGTATGACATTTTAGAAACCTGGTGTGTGTCTTACCTGTCACCACAGTTCAAGTGCCCCATAGCCACCAAAGTCTGCCACAGTGGACAGTGTGGACGTCGGTCCAGAGCCGCCAGCGACCTTGGCTTCAGGCACCTTATCTGTTTAGTGACATAGGTGAAACCCAAGCCTTCCCAGCTAACAGTGGAGAGAGTGTTAACTGCATATCTCCTTTCATGGGTGCCCTTGAGTTAGGAAGGACTTAGTGAAAGAGCTATTGACGGTCACAAAAGATAGGAGAGAACAGCAAAATATCAGTTACACCATCTCCTGCTGACTCACAGATTCCCACTCAGGACACTTCCATTTATCTTCAGCATCAAAAATACGTGCAGAGGATGGGAACTACATGCAGGTCCTTTCTATGGCTGTGCAATTTTCTCAGGGAGGAAATGGATGTCTTCTTATCAGTTAGTCACATAGCATCGGGCTATTTGTTGTGCAAACATCACAGAGTGTACTTACAAACAAAGACAGCTGTGACTTCACCAAGTGATATGATCTTAAGAGCCACTGTGGCACAAACTGTCTGTCCTTGGCCGAAACATGCAGCCACGCAGTGCATGACTGTTCTGAGATCACTTTTCATTATGTTCCTTTGCCTCTTGAAATTTCCCCTTTGGCTGCTTAACTTTAGCTATGTTATATTTACAGCCTTTCACATAATGCTTTTTCACCCTACTTAGAGTAAATACGGAACGAATGATCTCAAATTATAACACTGAGTCTCAATGTGCTCTACGTCTTCAAGCAAAGGAGGTTGGACTGGATGATTTCTAAGATTTCTTCTGGTTCTAAATTCGAACATTTCATAAATCTGTATCTGGATTTCAGTGAAATCATTGATTGAGTGGTAGACTGGGAATTACCATTAGTTTTAAGCTAATGTCAAGGAGCTCTCATAGTATTTGCTTTTAACACGAATGTGAGTATATTCTTTATTCACTTAAAATTAATAAAAACCCAGAATTTTCAGTGGTTACCAAGGCTGGTATTTATTGAACCCAAGCATCTCTGAGGTTATATCTACTCTTCTATTTTCATTATAGGTGGAAAAGAGGTCAATGGCGAAGAGAAAAGTGAAAATGAAAACAAAAAGTTTGAAGTAAGACTGTTAAGAGACCCAGGTGATGCCGCAGAGACCCGCAAGCTCTCCAGCAGGGAGGAAGCTGGAGCCCCAGGGGAGGGAGATACTCAAGGCCAGACAAAGGCCGACCGGGAGAAATGGGAAGAGGAAAGCAAACACAGCCAGCAGGGCATGGATGAGTCGCAGAGGAGTCTCTATCCCTCCAAGGACAATGGCCAGATACCTGAGGAAGCCAAGGTTCGCCATTCTGAGAAGAGTGAGGCCTTGGGCAGCGAAGAAGAAGTGGGAGAGGACCACCAGAAGGGGGAGCATGGGGAAGACGCCAGTGAAGGGAGACACACTGACGAGGCAGGAGAGACACCGGATGCCCTTCTCAACCAAAGAAACCAGGCTTCAGCCAAGAAAAAAGAGTTGGTGGCCAAATCAGATACACACTCTGCTGGGCTCCCTGAGAAGACACACAGCAGGGAGAAGAGCAGCCAGGAGGTTGAAGAGGAGGTGAGAAGCCAGGAAAAACGCCCTCAAGAATCTCATAGCCAACCCCGGAGCCAGGAAGAATCTGAGGAAAGTGAGGAAGACACGACCTCCTCCGAGGTGGCCAAACGACACACGAGGCCCAGACATCACCATGGGAGGACCAGGCCTGACAGATCCTTTCCAGAAGAGAACCCTTCTGAGGAAAAGGGACAGGAATCTAAGGAGGCAGACATGGGCATGACCGGTTTAGGAGAAAAGAGACACCACCACTCTACCCATTATCGGGCTTCAGAGGAAGAACCTGAGTATGGGGGAGAAATGAGGGGCTATCCAGGTATCCAGGCTTCTGAGGACCTGGAGGGCGGACAATTCATGGGCAGAGGAAGTGAGGACTACAGGGCTGCAAGGCCTCACAGTGAGAAGAGCTGGGGGGAGGAGGCTGAGAGAAACCACCCCAGCTCAGAGCTTAACAGTGTAGCACAGGGATATAGTGAAGAAAGTGAGGAAGAGACGGGCCACAAGTTGGGGAAGGGACACCATGACAGAGGGGGAGGAGGGGAACCAGGGGCCTATTCTACTCCTGACAACGGAGAAGAGAAAAGGTTCTTGGTTGAAGGACACCACCACCACGTTCAGGAAAGCCAGATGGACAAGGCAAGGAGACATCCACAAGATGAGTGGCAAGACCGGGACAAAAATTACCTCAACTATGGTGAAGAAGGAGCCCAAGAAAAGTGGCGGCAGCAGGAGGACCTCCGAGACCCTAGGGAAAACAGGGAAGAAGATAGGCTTCCAGACAAACAATATGCTTCCCACCACACCACTGAAAAGAGGAAGAGGTTAGGGGTGCTGTTCAATCCATACTTTGACCCTCTCCAGTGGAAGAGCAGCCATTTTGAGAGAAGAGACAACATGGATGACAATTTTCTTGAAGATGGAGAAGAAAATGGGCTGACCTTAAATAAGAAGACTTTCTTCCCTGAATACAACTACGACTGGTGGGAGAAAAGGCCCTTCTCTGAGGATGTGAATTGGGGATATGAGAAGAGAAGCTTCCCTCGGGCTCCCAAACTGGACCTGAAAAGGCAGTATGACGGAGTGGCTGAGCTGGACCAGCTCCTTCATTACAGGAAGAAGTCAGCTGAATTCCCCGACTTCTATGACTCCGAGGAACAGAGGAGCACACTCCAGGAGGCAGAGAATGAGCAGGAAGACACCGACCAGAGAGCTCTGACAGAGGAGGAGGTACAGAGTGGGACTTTTGTTTAAAATTAACTTATGATGATGAAGTTTAATGTGCTATGTTCAACATTATCTGAAAATAATGGGGAGCGACTGTGGCATTTTTCACCACACGAACGTAGCCTAGTAATGGAGGGGAGGCCACTTCTGGGGCTGGCTTTCACCCCCCATGTAATTGTATTCCATTTCCCTGGCCTCCTCTCTCTATGGCAATGATACTCTACCTCATCTGCACTTTGGAATCGCTTAGAGAGCTTGGAAAATTCCCAAGTATGGGGTCCACCCCCAGATTCTGTGTGAGCAGTACTGGGTGCTGCCTGATTTTTCAAAGATCCCAGTGATTCCTATGTCCAGCCAACTCTGACGAGCACTGTTCTTGTGTCTTCTTGATCACTACAGAAATCAGTTGGTTGGGTCTATATTGGTTTAGGTCCTACTGCAATAAGAATTTGCATCTGGAAAAGAGAATATCATCAAAGCTGTACTTTCCCACCCGATGTTTTTTCCTAATATTGATCGTGTTGGTTGGTGCTTCTCAAACTTCAATGTGCTTCAGAATCAGAAGGGTTTTCTAGTCTTCAGGGGTTGTGATTCAGTAGTCTCGGGTGTGTCTTCATCGCTTCCCTGAGACACAAAACCTGACACCCACATCTAAAGGAAGCGAGGTTTATTTGGCCCGAGGTTAGAGTCTGTGGTCAGCTGGCTCCAGGGTAGGAACGGCCTGGATGAGGGGCGGAGTGGAGGGAAGGGGCTCACATCGTGGCAGCGAAGAAGCAGAGAGAGAAGGGAAGGGCCGGGGGGAGCCGCACCTCCCAGGACGCATCCCCAGGGAGCCCCACCTCCAACGGCACAGGTGGCTGCTGAATTTACCAGTGCGGGAATCCGACCATGAGTCCAGTGCCCCCATCGCCCTTCCGGAAGCCCGGCCTTTGAGCTAGTTCGAGTTTGGGAGAACATCCTAGATGTACAGCTTCCCAGGGTCGACCCCACGAATCTGCATTTCGCACAAGTTCCTTGGGGTGGCTGAAGCTATCAGTCAGGGAACCAGAGCTCCTTTGAGAACGCAGATGCAGGTTGACTCACCTGGCCTCTGAACAGCCCTAAAATTTCCTACTGTCTCAAACAACAGCTACATAAGGTGACCTGGAACCTCACGTCTCCCCTTTTCTCTATTTTTCAGGAAAAACAACTGGAAAACTTGGCTGTGATGGATTTGGAATTACAGAAAATAGCTGAGAAATTTAGCCAGAGGGGCTGATGGTTTCTGGAACAACTGGCAGTTTTAAGAACTAGCCTTTGGATTACCTGTTTTCTACCACTGCTCAAAGACAACATTTATTTACTCAAAGTCAGAAAGTAGAATTTACTATTCCTTAATGTTTGGAAATGTCCTTAATTTTTGCCAGAATGCTATCAACAACACGAAGAGCATGACCTGTAGCGTATTCTTTCTTGCAAAATAGACATATTAGTATGCTTGTGACAATGAATGTGCTGCTATCTTTGATAATATGTTCGTCTCAGTTTGAAATAATAAAAGATTCACCCGAAACTGAAAGCATCATGGTTCTCAGCCTCCTTTGGGCTAACTGGGAGGGGCGTGACTTTCATATCCATTCTTTAAACTTGAAAGATGGCCCTAGGATTTATTGGTCTTTGGATGCATAACGAAAAAAGCACAAGGGCTGGGGATTTAGTTCAGTGGCACTGCGTCTGCCTCACAAGCACAAGGTCCTGAGTTCGATCCCCAGTACCAGAAACAAACAACCAAAAAAAAAAAAAAAAAACCATGGTGCTTCTACTATGACTATCCGAATAACCTTTGTAATCCCAGCACTCAGGAGGCTGAGGCAGGAGGATCACCTGGGCTACATAGTGAGTTCAGGGCCAGCCTGAACTATAAGGGGAGACTCTGCCTCAAAAAACCAAAAAAGAAAAGAAGGAGGAGGAGGAGAAGGATGAGGATAGGAGGAGGAGGAGGAGGAGGAGAAGGAGGAGAGAAATCCTTCCGAAGTGAAACAAAACACAGGACATAAAGAGGAGGATATGGGGGGAAAAATCTGCCGAGGCACTCAGTGGTTAGGCTTGAAGAATAGTCTCAGCCATCGTAAGGTGTTACCTTAAAGAGCCCATAAGCTGGTAGGCTGGGGCCCAGTGGTAGAGTACTTGCCTAGCATGTGCAGGGCCTGGGTCCAGCCCCAGTGCTGTCAGGGGTGAGGGAAGGAAGTGTGAAAAGGCAATGCAGCCCCTCCTCATGATTAGTCTGGCATGCCTGTAGTTCCTGTTGCTTGGGAGGCTGAAGCAGGAGGATTGCTTGATCCTAGGATTTACAGACTCTCTCAGGCAACACAGTACAACCTCATCTGAATAAGCTGGGCCTGGTGGCACATGCCTCTGATCCCAGTACTCAGGAGGGTGAGACAGGAAGATTGCTACAAGTTTGAGGTCAGCCTGGGCTACATAGCAAAACCCTCAAAACAAAAAACTCTCATCTCAAGAAAAATTAAACTTACAAAATCTTCTAAACTGTAGAGTTCTAGGAGTAGCCAGCCGAGGACCGTTTTTCCCAGGCAGAAAAGAAAGGCTGGATAACGGGGGTGAGGCGCTCTGGACTGGGAGTCAGAACTCCTGGTCCATCCAGACAGATCCGCGGCCCTTGCTCCAGGCTTGTGCTTGTCCCACCCTTTAAAAAGATGGAGCTCTGACTCTGTTGGCAAGCAGCTGTGTGGCTTTGAGCAAGTTACTTCCCCTCTCTGAATCTTGGGTTTGCCAGTAAAATAAAGATATGTGTTGTGCTGGGTTGCTACACACGTGATAGGAATTTATGCAAGCACTCAGGCACAGTGATTGGCATTTGCTGACAGCAGAATAGTGTTGGCTGCTGCAGCTGTGATCCCTGCAGCTTCTTATCACGAGGCAGTGGGACACTTCCTCTCCTCCCCTTCACCTCCCGTTACTCCTCACCTGGAGCATTGGCCTGCGCATTCCTACTATGTGGCAGTGCAGGAAAATAGCTGGGAGGAGGAAAAATGTGTAGGATTGTGGCTGCCTCACCCGCCCTCTCTGCAAGGTCAAGAATGACTGGGAGAATTTAAGCAGATGCTTTCCCATCGAGCTCCGGACAGACTTTCCTGGTGAGTCCTGGCTTTATCAGACAGAGCACGGTGATCAGTGCACAAAATTCAGCCCGTAACAGGGCAGGCCAGCTACTGCCTCCCGGAGCGGGAAGCTCGGGGCACATACTCCACACTGCCCAGGTGCCCCACAGTGTCCTGCTCGGCTGCTGCTCTTATCTCCCTGGCCCCTGCCCACTGGCGACATCACTGGGGTGCCCCCGGATCACCTGCAGTAAACCACTCTTCTGCAGAGTCTCATCTCAGGGTTTGCTTCTGGGAGACCTCAACTGAGCCCAAGAAACCAGCCAAAGCCAAGGCTCGTGTCATAGCAGATGACCCAGCTGGGTCGTCCTATGTCGGAGACGCAAGCCCTCCTCTCACCAGGTGGGGACACAGACGCTGGGAGACTCAAACATACACCCTGCACGCAGCGCAGGTGGTCTCTGCCTTTGACCCGACCACAGCTCAGTGGAAATCAAAGTCATCTCCTAAATGTAGAGAATTTGGGGGGCCTAGGATGAATAGGGGTTGATCTCATGGAAAGAAAACAAATCACTACAGTGCACCAAATGTTGGACACACACACACACACACACACACACACACACACACACACGTCACACAGCCCTGAAAAGCAGGGACAGATCCTGAGAAATGTGTCCTTACATGGCTTCATCTTGGGGATGCCACAGAAGCACCAACCCTATGACACTGTGAGAACCATTTATTGTGCTTAGGGCCATGATGGACAAAACAACAGGAGATTAAACGCAGCACAAGAGAAAACGGTACAAACAAGAGATGCATTCGGGCCAGGGATTTAGCCCAATGGTGCTGCTACCTGCCTCGCAAGGGCAAGATGGTGAGTTCGATCCCTGGTGCAAAACAAACAAACAAACAAAGCAAAACAAAAAAAGAGACACAGCTGACACATGGCGTGTGAGTACGAGGCTGCCGGTGGCAGAACCCAGCCCAGTTTCACAGCGAGTTGGGATTTTATAGCAGGAGCATAACCTAAAACGACGAGCATACAATGCAGCCGACACGTAAACCAGTAGTGATTATGGTGTTGAGTATTGTGTCCTGGGTGCACTTTGGTACTGCGGGTGTTGACTTGTATACAACGGGCCGCACAGCGTTTCCATGAGCGGCACAGCGTTGCGACGTTGCAATGTCTGTGGTACCCCTGGGTGACAGGGATGGTTCGGCTCCGCTCTAATCTTGACCACTGTCGTATATGAAGCCCGCTGTGACCAGGGTGTTCGGAAACAGCTCATGGCTGTCTGTATTCATGGCGAAAACACTAAATGGTCCGGAAAGGTCCTGGGAAGGTGACCCGACTTGGAAACAGTCTCCACAAACACGGTCAAGATGAGGTCATCAGGGAGGCCCATTTCCAGCCTGACTGCTGTCCTCATAAGAAGAGGACAACTGGGACACACACGGGAGGACAGTGGGTGAAGGTGGACACAGAAGGCAGACACCACGTGGTGATGGATGTGAGGACAGCAGTGATGCTGTCATGAGCCCAGAGGCACCTGGGTCACCAGAGGCTCGAAGAGAAAAAGCAGGGAGCTCGGGAGACTGAGGCAGGAGGATCACTGTGGGTTCGAGACCAGCCTGGGCTACACCGTGAGTTCTAGAGCAGTCTGAACTACATAGTGAGACCCTGTCTCAAAAAACCAAAAAAAAAAAAAAAAAAAAAAAAAAAAAAAAAAAAAAAAGAAAGAAAGAAAAGAAAAAAACAAAAAGCAGGGAGGCCATCCTGCCTCTCTGCCTTGACTTGGGGTATGTGCTGCAGCAGTGAGAGGCAAATGGCCTCAATGACCCCCATCCCCAAATCCCTCTGCCAGATGCAGCCATCTGAAGGTAAGCATATTTTACTTGAATATTTAGTATACATGGGAGACTTAAATAGCCCACTGTAATAATTACAACTCTGCAGTCTAGTAACCAAATCCTCAAATGCATAATGGACCTCGCTGAGAATGTGCTTATTGATGAAAAACCTCAAGGACATGAGCCATGTGGACACCTTGGGGAAGGGCTTTGCAGGCAGTGGGAAGGGCAGGTGCAAAGGCCCTGAGGCAGGTGTGCTTGTTAGGTTTGAAGCAGAGCAAGGAGGCTGGTGGTGGGGTATCACAGGAGGCAAGTTTAGCGAGGCAGCAGGAGCCAGATCACTGTGAGCTTTGTGAGCCCTGCTAAGGATTTTTGCTTTTGTGGTTGTGCAGTTTTCAAGAGAAAGGCCACATGATTTGCTTTACATTACAGCAATACTGACTGCTGGGCTGAGAGCAGGCTGGAGGAGCCACAAAGGAGGGTACTGCACCAGTCCTGGCTGGCCGGTCATCACAACGGTTTGGGCCAGGGTTCAGCACTGGGGGGGGGTGCAGGTAGGCCAACTCTGGATCCATTCTGGAGGCTGACAGGTGGGACCATGGCACTGGGTGAGGCCAAGGGAACAAGAGGATGATGCCAGGGTTTGGCCTGTGCCCAGGGAAACAGATGGGGAAGGTGCAGGGGGGACCAGCGTGAGAGGGAGGAGCTCAGGCCAGGGCAGCTTGAGGCTGTAGAAGTGAAAGATAGGTGGTGTGTGTGGCCGGAGAGGAGGCAGGGCCTGCGCTGGGGGCAGGGGATCGTCCCCAAGGCGGTGGGGTGAGACTGCCTAGTGCCGAGCGTCAGCCAGGGCAGCGTCAGCCAGGGCAGCCTCTGGTGGGGTCCAGGCTCTCTAGTGCTTCGTGCCAGCTGAGGTTGGTTACCTACAAAGCCCATGCATACTAAATACAAATCTTGACACACTTTTAGCCGTGTAGGGCCTGTCCATGTTCCACACACACACACACACTGTTCCCCACACTCCTGTGCTGCTCACCTACTGCCTGCCATGGATAAGCTGGAGCTCTGAGGTTCTGAGACCCCCAGCAGCTCCCCCTAGACACACAGCACCCTTCCAGTCTCCTCTCCAGGGCCTGCCCGTCCTCCCTGCTCCCCTCTGTGTGATAACCCCAGTGGGTGCCGGCCACCGCACAGACTCCAGCCGGGAAGAGCACCCTCTCTCCCTCACACAAGCCCAGCCGCGTTGTGGGTGCGTGCTGCTGCCACCTCGTGGTCACACTTTCTTTGGTCGGCCCCGAACCCCTCCATCACCCTGAGAGCAAGGGTGGTCACAAGATGGGGAAGAGTGCGCTGCTTGGCCCTGTCTCAGAGGTGAGGGGCCAGCGAGAGATGAGGTACGAGGGAAAGTGGAGACAGAGGGCAGGAAATCCTGCCGAGGAGAGGGACCGGGGTCAACGCCAGGGGTGGCCTTGCAGCCCCGAAGGAGCGCTGGGTTTCAAGCCGCAGCTGTGACTGCCGCAGGCCACCCCTAGCTGTGCCCACTGTGGCTGCTCCTGGAAGCTGCTGTCCTGTCCCTCACTGAGGTTGGGGATCAGCAAACCCTTTCCTAAGGAGCCCTGCAGAAATACTTTAGGCTCTGAGGCCAGATGGTCTTTGTCACAACTCTTCAATTCTGTCCTGGCAGGATGTAAACAGACACGTGACTCCGTTCCACTGAAACTTCATCTAGAAGCATGAGTTTGAATTTAATGTAATTTTCACATGCCGTAGAATTATTTAAAAAAACTTTTTTCCTCTAACCACTTAAAAATGTAAAAACCATTTTTAATGTGAAGGCCACCCTTTACATCCCCCAAATGGCAGTGGGCCAGGTTTTGGCCTGCTTTAAATCAATCCTATTCTTATTTTTGCCTTCTGGAATCTCCCCCCAAGTGGTTTTAGTTTACTTCGGCGTACCTCCTGCTTTGGGTTATTCACAGCAGATGGGAAAGAACTGAAAGCCATCTTACCCACCCAAGTATTTGATTGTGGATAGTTAACTGGTGTGTGACGTGAGCAAAACACCCAGCTACATTGGGTCAGCATCGTTCTGGGTGTGGCCGAGGGATTCACTGAACACAGAAGAGCTGCCCTCGGTGTGACTGGTACCAACCAATAGGCTTTTCGCCTGAATGGAATAAAAGGGAAACAAGAAGGCAAGCTCACTTCTGTTTCTCTGGAGGAGTCCAGTCTTCACCTCCTCCTTGGACGTCGTCTCCTGGCTCAGCACAGACTCCGGCTTCCATCGCAGGTCCCCTGGCCTCCTGATGTGGACTCACCGGGACACTATACTGAGCTCCAGGCCTCCGACTGGATCCCTCAGATCTCCAGCACACAGAGAGCCCTTCTGCACTCGTCCACGCCTGCCTCTGTGGGCGGCCGTTGGAAGCCAATCTTCTTGTATATTTGTGTATCTTGCATTAAATCTGTTGCTCTAGGAAGCACTAACTGATAAAATTAGGGAAAGTCCTCCCAGAAAGCAAAGAATCCCTGCTATTTTCTCCATCCTCTGGGTTAACGTCCCCACTTTTTAAAGCTTCTTGGTTTAGGATGGTAACACTTAGGGACTAAACATCCCACAGATTACGACAGCCTATGCTTCAGAGCAAAATCTCTATGGTGCTTTATCTGTCCGTGTGAAAATGAAAGTTCAGAATCTCTCCATCTTGGTTTTAATGGACGGTTTTAAAGGCCAGTGTCGGGCACGTGGCAGCAGCTCGTTACTGACAGAACTGTAAAACAGAAGGAAGGGGGCAGAATGGGAAACAATTTCGTATGATTAAAGATTTGGCCCACTTGCTCGTGTCTTGCAGTGTCACCTGCCCTTGGAGCCTCGACTGAGCTCCTGTCCCCTAGTCCTGGTGAGGGGAATGCAGAGTAGGTGGGAATGGGCCAATGTGGTCGGGACACATCACAGGACTGGCTGGCTGGACACCTGCGCGCACTGCACAGCAACCAGTTTGGTGAAAACACAAGAGGCTGCTCCAGGGCGGGTCCTCATGTTCGTCCTTTATCCAACACCATGGCGGGTCAACGGAGCAAGAGGGGCATGTTGGAGACCCGGGCAGTGTGCCTGCTGTGGCCGAGATGGTGTGGCCGTGTGTCTATCCGTGTTGAAGACCCTCTGAGCTCACTCTCAGGAGACCAACCATTCCACCACCGGCCATGAGTTTGTGAATGGGAACAAAATTTGTTCCCAAATAGAAGCATCTGTGAACAGAGGTATCATGGTATTTCATGTTGTTTTTGCAACAGGTACAACCAATGCTTTAAAACAATGCAAACACTCCCAATATCTTTGTTTCACATACTCAGACTGAAATTTTAGCTTTTTTACATACAATCAATAAATGATTACCCAGTGAGATCTGCTTCACATAGTCTGAGTGCACCTCGAAGCTAAAAGCACCCTTTCTAATGGGCTCTATACTGTACACTGCCAAGTATCCTACTCCAGTGGAGAAACAGGATGGATATTACAAAATGACCTTTGTCTTTTCCTTTTGGACTGCTACCCACTGAAGGGCTATTCCACATAACTTTCCACGCAGCCATTACTTTGTATCACAGAAGACAGACATTCCGCACTGAGCCGCATGTGGTGCTGCATGCTTGTAATCCCAGACCTTTGGGAGGCGGAGCTAAAAGGATTACAAATTCCAGCCCAGCCCCAGCAATTTAGCGAGACTCTCTCACTACAAAACACAAAAAAAGGGCTGGGCATGGAGGGCAGTGTGAAGGCCTTGGGTTCAATCCCCAGTACTCTTCTGTGTGTGGGTGGGTGGGTAGGGTCCTTTGTTTTGCTGCACCCATGAGGGAACACAGCAGTTTCTCAAGGGGTGGTTCCGAGGCCAGCAGTACCAGTACCACCTGGAAACTTAATGAAAACTGTCCCACCTCAGACCTACTGAATATGAAAAACTAGACAAAGGCTTAGCAACCTGTTTAACAAGCCCACTAGGCAATTCTAAATTTTCAAATGCTAAGTTTGCAAGACCTTTGTGAACCACTCAATGAAGTCATCCACATGAGAGAAAAAACAAAACAAAACATTGTTTTGCAGTAGGCGCTGGTGAAGAGTCCACAAGCCGCCTGGAACAGCTATGTGGCCATGCAGGTCCTCTCTGGCTCAAAGCTTAGCCCTTCTTCTCTCAGGGACCCATGCAAAGGATTTCAGGAATAGAGCAGGACCGGAAACTGGTTGAACCTCAAGCAGGATCTGACAGGAACCAATGCAGACCAGCTGGCACTGGGATGTCCCCTGGGCTCACAGCTGTGTGTCCTGGACATGCAAGGCTGGCTCTGCTGTGTTGAGGGACCACTGCTGTGCTCTGTGACAGACTGCCGGCCGAGGGTGTCCCTGTGGTGCCACCGCACCATCAATAAAGCAAGTCAGACAGAGCAGGGTAGGTGACACTTTTATTCTCTAAGAAAAGGAAACCACAACTGTACTTGTTGGCAATCACACCAGTATTATCAGATAGCACTGCCATTAGGAAAAGGAAAGCTCATCTTTTGGAGATGCTGTGGGCTGCATGATCCCTGTCTCTTCTGTGCTGGAGGGAACAGCACACACAAGCGTGATTACAGAGTGAGACCCATTCTCAGACAGATGAGGGCTCTGGCTTACTCTGAACCTGTCACCGTAGTCATCTACTTTGCAGCACCTACTGAGGCTCCCTACCCAGTCACCACAGAGCATCTCAGACCTGTATTAACAATCACTAGAAAAAGGCACTTTACATATATTTGACAAGGAGCAACACCAAAGCAATCAGAATGGGTCCAACTTTTTCTAATTCAAATAAATATGATATTCTCTCCATGTCTGTATACATTATAGGTAGCACATTCTGTCTGTGCGTATATATAAATGTGTATGTGTACATATCAACATCTATACACATATATAAATGTGTGTATCTTTAAGTCTCTACAATGGAAGAAAATGTTTCCTTTAATTAAATATTACACAAAAGTTCTCGTCACTTTATTTGGAACAAAGAATAAGGGAATTGGCAAATTATTGCAAAAAAAGTACCCACTAAACCTTCTATGTACCAAAAAAAAAAAAGCAGTAAATAAATACCTGGAACTCTTCTAGGTTGTCAACTATTAAAAGAGTAAATTGTAGCATATTAGGAAAGCTTATCTCCCCAAAGGGAGCAGGGTGGACGTTTTGGTACAGCCACACGTCCATATTGCTTGGGTTAAACAGAAGGGAATGAACGGTGGAAATTTCTTCTACAAATTCTTTCAGAACTTACCAAGTTTCAGCTATACTGTTATTCCACTTAGTTTGTATATAAACAATCTTATATAAATACGTATTCAGAGTGTTAAAAACCTCAAAATATTTAGTGCTACTCCAGCTTTGTTAAGGAAACAGTACTGTTGCATCACTCCAGGCCTGCACACTGGAGCTGCAGCTCTGGCCCCAATACCACCGGCGTCAGAAGGGGACAGAGGCTGATCCACCTTCTCAGGGTGGGGCGCAGACAGGCTGTACTCTTAGAATATGAAAAAAACAACCAGCAATGGCATTTAAGGTTTAATTATCAACCACAGAATGCCTGAGAATAAAAATGAAAGCAGTTCTCATAGGGTTAAGACCCAGACTCTGCGCATTTCTGCTTTTTGGCTGCCGGCTCCTCCATGTTGAGAGACTCTAAAGTGCTGGTGCTGCATCTGAGGCTGGTGTCTGCTCTAAGGCTGTCCGAGACCACGGTGAATCCTGACAGAAGGTAGCCACCACCTCCACTCATCAGCAGTTTGGGGTGACTTCGATCTGGCAGAACCTAATCACGATAGGAAAAGACGCTCATGTTTTCTCAGGACAGTAAAGCACATGGCAGTGGCACATTTAAAAAATCAGATCTGAATGACAAGAGGCTCTCTTGAAGATTTAAACAACAAATTTCTAAGGAGCTCGTTCCTTCACCTGACAGTGCGAAGAAAAGCACAGCAACTAGTTTGTGATGTTTTTTTCTTAAACAAAACTGAAGCCCTCGTCCTCTCAGACCTAAAGCAAGTTTCTGCAGACGATGGGCAAAGGGCCTGTGCAGTACTCCAGGCCTGCACTGCTTTCTCCTGTTGGCTCCAGAAGCTTCCTGGTCAATGATGGAATATGGGTCTTTGGAGAAACAACTCCCAGAGGTCACTCAGAATCTCCTTTCCCTGAAAACCTGGCAACGCTGACAGGAATTCTCTCCTGTTACCTGAACTAATAAATGAGAGGCTTTATTTGGTTCCGTAAAGGGAAGGGTCACTCAGGGCTCAACTGAAGCACTAGCACAGTAGGAAAGATGTCAAGCAACGGGCCACGCCTGTAGCAGCCAGAAAATGCCCGATTCCACTTGCTGGGGGAATTGGCTGTGAAGCACGAGGGAGTGGGGGGCCTCCAGCCGCCGCCGCTGTGGGGTCTACTGTGGCGTTCTCACTGAGGGGACTCGGCTACTCCCAGTTTGTGACGGAGCTCAGGTGCCAAGAGCCAACCATTTCCACCTAACACAGGGCTGTTACCGGGAAATAATCGTTCCTGGGTCCCTCCTGAGACTTTCTCAAGAAGCACTGCAGGCTCTTCCTCCTCGCCCTCCGCCATAAGCACAGCCCACACCCTCTAATCCTGCTTCTGCTCCCTTTATCTTTCACAGCCATTTCCCTGATACCTCTGTGAATTCTACCTTGGCAGGTCTCCCAGCACCAGTAACCCTTCCTGACCACGTGCTGTGAACATGTCCCAGTAGAGGGGGGGCACTTTTTTGCTATACCTACTGCTGGTTACCCTCTCTGCAGTGGCAGCACAGCCTCGGGGAAATATGAACAACTGTTTGCATTTTAAATGCTGGGGGCTGGAGTTACATATAACAGTCTGATCCCGAAAAAGGAAAGAGGGTCAGGAAAAGTCAGGAGCAGGTTCTCCAAGTCACTGGAGGAAACTTAGTCATTGTTGTGGCTAGAAACAGGGAAGCAACTGCAGAGAGCAGCTCCTGGTCACATACCTGGTAATTTCGCAGCCAGGTTTCAGACAGCCTGAGGTTGATGACTCCTCCCCTCTCCCGCAGTTTTGTGTAGCATTCCAACAAAGGCTGGAGGCAAAAACGGAGTTCAGTTAAGAAATACTTCCTGCGCTGTAGTTTGAGAATCCAATTTCAGATGCCAGGATTCTAGAATTACCTCTTTGTACTGACAGTAGATCACGAATGGCCGTGAAGGGGCCACGAAGTCCAGTAAAGCCAGCAGCAGCGGAGTGGGATGGAAACGACTTGCCACGATTAAACTGAAAAGGAAATGTCAGGCAGATTATTTCTCTACTACCCCGACTTGAAGCAAGTGTTTCAAAGTGCCATTTAAAATGATCATGTACTTATTTATGATTCACACAAGGTTAAATGCAAGAGTTAAATGCAGCGTTCTAGAAATTCAAAACATTTAAATCAGGAGCTGTTGATTTCTAGGGAATACATACGGGGTTACAAGTTCTCATGGTGCTTAGTAACCCTTGAGTAGCTCTTGGTTCTTGATTGTTTCTAAATCTGGAAGCAAATCTAACAGTGCATATGCTGGCTCTGCAGACATCTGCATCTACCTGTCCCTGCCAGGTACCATTAGGCCCCGCTATCAGCTGTATCACAGACATCTGGAGGCTCCCCTGGCCAAACCTGCCCACCCCTTCTGATACACGGCTATTGGAAAGTGTTTTGATTTCTTCTCAAACCTTTAGCACCATCAACTTCCCACCTCCGCCAGATCCAGCCTCCTTTCTTTTTTTTTTTTTTTTTTTAGATGGTATCTTGCTATGTCATCCAGGCTGGCCTCAAACTTGTGGCACCTGCCTCGGCCATTACAGACGTGTGCCACCATGCCTGCTCCAGCCTTTCTTTAAAAACCCAAGACAGCATCCTCATCTCCGCTCCTATTACTCAGAGCAGGCAAGTGGCAAGACAATGTGAACCCATCTGAAGCGACGCCCATTAGCACCAAGAAGTACCCCGTGTTCTTGCATCAACGCACCCATCTGCGTTTCTTTCGCTCAGCAGAGCAGCAGCCTCTAAATGTCTTTTCCTCTGTTCTTCTTGCCTCCTCTGCTTTTCCTGAATCTTCAAGAAGAAAAACAAGAAACCAGAGCACTGAAGTCATTCAGTCTGGTTTGTGGAAAATGCTCTGGTCTAGTAAAACATTTCAACAACTTCAGCTCAGAGTAAAGCGACAGGAGGAGAAAGGTGAAAATACAAGAAAACCTACATCTTATAAAACCCCCATTAAGGGGCCAAAGCAATGCTTCTGTGTCCACAGCTCCATCCTGAAGATGAAGTCACGCTGTATGGACACAGACACACAATCCTCCTCCACTGTTTTGCTGTGTGTCCTCTTGGGAGCTGACGTTCCACAGCAAAACCCAATCTCATTACTTAAATGAAGTTAACGGAGGCTCTGACAATTACAAGGCTATGGAGTCTACTGATGCTCTTACGTAATCTTTTTTGTCTCCTCTCTCCTTCGGCTCCTTATATTCTGGGTCTTGAGCAATAACTTCCATTGTTTCTTGCTCTTCTGGGTGTCTGCTGTCTGGTGCCTCTGCCATGGGGTCTTCAGTGTCTTGTTCAGCAATCTGCTTGTCTTCAACTACGCCATTACTTTCTTCAACGGAAGCACTGTCTTTCGGCTCTGAAGATAACATCTCAGCAGAAAATGTGCCATTCAGGAGACTGTCTACTTTGTTGAGGGGGAATTCATAAAGACCACTGAGGAAGGACTTGGGAAATCCAAAACATGCTGTTGCTACCCGAACGGGTCCATCCCCAGGGTACAGCTGAATAATGGAGCCAAAACCTAAAAAGACAAAATAAAGAAACATCTGCAGAGTGGTGGCTACACAAGCCCTCAGCATCCTCTATGTAATGAGACTAAGGTTGTTTAGAGGCTCAAAAACCATGCAGCTCTCTGGGATCTGCTAGAAATCTTACAGCAGCTCATCCCCACTTAACACTACTGCAAAATCCTGATTAGGTGGATGTCATGTCACCATTGCCTTTCTGCCTTCTCCTATCACAACTCCCACAGGGGCGCATTAGAAGTGCCTATCTTCTACATGGTCTGAGGACAGACAGGCAAGCAAATCAGGCTGAGCTGTTTCTTCCAGGAGAGAAGACATTCTTAGTAGACCAAACACTCAGTTGCCTCAATTGAGGCCAATAAAATGAGCATTTTATCTGAAGTCAATTTTCCTGGAATCCTTGTCCTGAAGGTCCCCGCCAGCCACAGGTTCTGAACCATCCCTGCTGGTGCTGAAGCGGGAAGGACCACCACCACCACGGTCCCAACACAGCAGAGAAGATGTGGCCCCCAAGGAGGCCCCGGAAAGGAGTCACCCAAGTCACTTCATTAACCTGACAGTCACTCAATCCAGTTTCTAACAGTTTGGAATTTTGGACCCGTCTACTCACATCAGGGTAGGGTTTTACTGAACTTGAAAACCGTCAGACTTACCTCCCATTCGTTCCATCATTGCGCCCAGCACCAAGCCCGAACAAGTTTCCATGACGATCATTTTATTGCCAGCACGAATATTTCCCAATGTCAACATCTGGGCTAATGTATCATATCTCATGTGGCTAAGGGAAAAAAAGCACGATTCACTCACTTTTAGCTAAGTAAGGCCTGCAACTTCAATCATCATTTTTTAAGTTCTTCTTGTTTTATAAAAATTATGTTGATAATTGATTGCTTTGGAGGTGACAGTAAAAGGACTTACAATTTATGAGGTAGGAGGACACTTTATGCAGGTGAGCAAGTTTTTCATTTTACTTAAAATCATGACTTTCTTAAAGACATATTTCCCCCAATTATATTTTTGAAAGGAAACAAAGCGTACTTAATTTTTCCAGGCTCTCTTCCATAATACATAATTGAAAGAATACGAGTGGATGGCTTCAAAATAGTAACAATGGCTTCATATCTAGTGGAATGAAAAACAGAAAAACCAATTTGAAAAAAGTTTAAAACACTTTATCTTTAGTAACATATAGTACATACAGAAAAAGTTAATATTTTCAACTGTTTAAAAAACTACTTACTTCTTCTTCTTCTTTTTTATATATTTGTCCTGAGCAAATTCTGTCTTGTCTCGGAATGTTGTACTATTTTCAATTAACTGCTGAACTATTTCCTGTAAGAAAAGGAGCAAGCAGATTTTCTAAAACTTCACTGCCACAAAACAAAGAACTTCAAAGGCTGTTTACCCCAGAATATATCCAAAGGTCTGATTCTCCAGTCCCTCTTCGACAGAAGTCCGAATAGATCAACTCTGCATTTCTAAATCATTCAGAAGTTTGTAATCGAGTATAAGTACTATATAACTCCATTTGAACCATGATAAAAGAACAGACATAAGAGAAGATAGAGGAAATTCATTCCTCTACATTCTGACACTGGCTGAAAAGACTACTGAAAATGAGCAAAGTGCCTGATATGCACTGTTATTAAATTCTCTACCACTAATAATGCCAGTAAGGTCATTCACTTATATTCCTGCATATAAGAAATAAACTCTTGACATTCTGAATGGGATGTATATTTCTAATAAGAATACAACACTTTCTCCCACTGTCTTAGGTAAAGTCAGCTTTAAAAACCAATTTCCTATACACCAAACACAAACAAAATTAAAAACACCTTTGAGTATTACCTCTCCTTTAATGCCCTTGTCTTTCAAAGCTTTTATGTCATCTTGAGTGAGTTTCTGAGATTTCCCATCATCAATTATATTTCGATTGTCAGTGCCAGCTTCTTTAGTCTCTAAGGAAAGAAATTGCTCTTGGTCATTTATGGTAGGCAATTATTTTATAGTTTCTCTTTTCCAAAGTTCACATCCTCATCCAGCCTATCAGCCACGCAGGCCTTCCATTCCAAGGCCCCTACTGCCATCTACTTCCCTTTTTCACCACGACTACTCTGCTGCTCTAACTCGTCTTCCTGCTCACACTATCACCCCCTTCCTAGCCACATGGATGCCAGAACGCTTCCTTAAGAATGCAAATTGGCTCACCTGTTTAGACGCTTCAAACTGTACAGCAACTTCCCAGAGCAAAGAGAAACTACTGTACAGGTGACCTACAGGGTCATGGAAGATTGGCCCTGTCTAGCTTTGCTGGGCCTCATCTCTTTGGGACTTGCTGGTCTCTGCCCAGAAGGCCTGATGATAAATCTCCATTGAGTGGATGGTTCCTTTCTGTCACTTGTCACCTCAGCCAAGGTTCACCACACCCACTCAGGCTCCAGCATGTGCCCTGCCTCTTCAGAAATGATGCTGCGTGCTTGTGAACTAGTTTATTTTGGCTGTTTTCTACTGTAAATACCTGTTATAAGTCTACCTCACGAACTGCTATATTCATGGTACCTAACTGCACCTGGCACCGATTCGGAATTTAATAAAAATATGGACATTAGGGGCTGGGGATTTAGCTCAGTGGCACTGCACTTGTCTTGCAAGCACAAGGTCCTAAGTTCGATCCCTGATACTGCCAAAAAAATATGGACATTAAAAGTACAATGGTACCTTGTTTCATAAACACTTCTGTTTGCAAACTATATAGCTCATAAATGAACTGTTTTGGCAAAATTTTGTTTTTGTTTGCAAACTCTGCGTTGGGTGACAAACATGTCGGCCATCTTTCCCATACAAACACAAATGTGGCCATCTTTTCCAAAATTATAGAACAAATTAAGTTTATGAACCCAATTGTCCTTGTATTCAATTAATGGGTTTGCTTCAGAACTTTAGCATTCTTATTTAATTTTTAGTAATTATTTTTCCTAATATATTTCATTAAGAATATTTACTTTAATAAATCCTGTAAGCATTTAACTTATTCTAGATACTGGAAATTGAACTCGGGACCTCACACAACCAGGCGCTGTGCCACTGAGCTACATCCCAGGCCCTGTAAGCATCTAATTTCAATGAATAACACTGGCTAACATGATGAGATACTTCAGACAGGCAAGGCACTGTTGCCAGGACCTATGAGTCACATTACTGACACTACAACCTGGGTGTTAAAGATGTTTAGGGCCCCATTACAGAAGAATATGTAAGAATGAGGGAGCCAAATCGCCCTCCCTAGGTTCCAGGGTAGGTGACGAAGCAGGTATGCAAGCCTGGCCAGTTGGATTCAAAGCCAGAACTCTTAATCTTGCGGCTCCCACCCTGCAGCGACTTCACTTCAGGGAACGCAAAGTCTACATGGCTCGTTCAGGAAACCAGAAGGAACTCATAGGATTAAAATATCCAGCTTAAGGAATGGAGCCAGTCAGTGGTGGGCTGGAGGCAGAACTCATGCTGGCTCACCATCAAGGTGCGACTTGTGCTCCTCTGTTAAGCTACAGTTCTTAGACAATGAGTTTAGGCTTCTTCTAAGACGGCCTCGGCTGGCACTCTGGAATAAACTGAAATTGATGATTTCTAACCATCTAATTGGACAGCATCCCCTTCTTTTTGGGGAATGAACCCAAGGGTTCATGCATGCTAGACAAGTGCTTTACCACCGAGTTATTATCCCCCCACCCCATTTTGAGACAGACCTCACTAAGGTGCCCAGGCTGGCCTTGAATTTGGGATCCTCCTGCCCCACCCTTCTGGGTAGCAGCTGGTATTACAGGCACGTGCCAGTGCACCCAGGGAAAGCATCTATTTCACACATCCAAAGTGGTGCACCTGAAGTAGGCTCTTCTTTCTTCTTCTTGGGCTGAAGACTTCCTCCACCAGTCACTTCAAATGTGGTTCCATAACTATGGCCAATGACATTATCCAGGTAGAACCACTGTCTTTCAAAAGTTACTTTTCTGGGGAAGAAAAAGCAAGCAATTAATTGACTTGTTCTGCATTCAGTATACAAAAGACATTTGGAAATGGAACCTAACACTGACAATGCTCTACTGAGGACCAAATAATTTTTGGCTTTCCTTGTACCCAGATTTGTATCCTACTGCAGTTTACAAGAGAAATCCTACCAAAAAACCTTTCCTTTTAAAAGAAGACTACTAGTATCTATTCTACATAAACTACAGGTTAGCCAGTGTATGCCAGGTGTGTTTTACACTTTTAAATTCTCATGGTAATCCTGGGACATAGCTCTTTCCAAAGGAGAAATCCAAAGCCTAGATGCTGGAACTGGAATTAAAATTCAGATGTCTGATCGCCAGGTCTGGTGCTTTCCACTGCGTCACAGTCTACCCCAGCAAAGGCCACAGGACCTTAGGAGGCACCAGTTAGCTTTAGGACCCGGCCCTCAGCTACAGAATTTGTAACTCTGGGGGTCGTACCAGAGTTCTGTTTGTGTCCCACCTCCTTCCTTTCTGTGTACTCCCAGACTCACAGCAGGCACCACTGCAGCACTCGGGCTCTCCATCAACTGTCCCAGTGGCTGCTGCGTCCTGAGTACAGCACCTTTTTTTTGGTACCAGGGATTGAATTTAGGACCTTGCGCTTACGAGGCAGGTGACGGTACCACTGAGCTAAATCCCAGGCTGGCACCTTTCTTTTTTGGTTTTCATATCCTGCTACCTTTGTAATGTGTTATGTGTTACACTTTATTAAGTGTCTCTTCAACTCCTCTGAGTGAGATGTGGGGTGACCTTAAGGGATCCAGACAGGATCAATTCTTACTCTTTGCTGGATTCCCATGAAACTAACACATACATTCAAAATATCTGCTGACACAAACCCCTTCAGAAGCTCAAACTCAGCTCTCAGCCCAGAGGAACACCCTACCCTGATCCTTCAAGCACCCTGGTACTGGATCTGTTTGATGTGGAAATGCAGGGAGGGGTGTCACTCAGAATGATATGGAAGCCACAAATTCACTGGGAAGGAAGAGGATGTGCAGCATCCTCCTGAGAGACCCAGGACTGCTTTGACCCAACAAGATGAGTGTGGCCCAGAGGGAGGGTAATGACGGAGTGCGGCCTGAGATACATCAGGGCTCAGAGGGTCACTGGCTAAACAAGACAGAAACCACCAATGTGGCTCTGCCTCTTGAGAATAGGGATGGATAAGAAGTACCTCCATGTGATGTCGTGAAGACACTAGATGTTGCTGTATCCTTGAAAGTGAAATATGTCTTATCTGAAAAAGCACATTCTTAGCACAAACAACCATAATTGAAAATTAAGCAACTTACAAAAATAGTATGAAAAGGAGAAGAAAAAGTTTCATTTGGATAGTCATTATAGGTTTGTAATGCTAGGCTTCCTCACTGAACTATGTACTTCTAACCCAATAACTTTGCTGCACTGTGTCATCCTTCAACTAAAAGCTTAAATAATTAGTACTGGACATCTTCAAAAATTATGTACTTGAAAGCAAGTACAGAATTTCTAGTTAGTTCTAGAAAAAAAAATACTAGTTTCAAGACTACAAAAACAAAGCAGTGATGAGATAGTTATAAAATTCCTCTAATTTCAGCTACCAGAATGAAATAAAATTTCCTCAATGGATAATTTGAAAATGCTTAAAAGATATTCCATTTTTGTACTGCAAGTAATATCCCTCCTCCACAATTTTTTCTCTACTCAGTTGATGCTTGTGAAAAAAAGCTTGGTTATCTCCAGCTTGGTGCTTTGTGCCCTGTTACCTGACTAATTTTTAATGATACCTGCTTCACTTTAAATACTAGTCAACAGCTTGATACAAAAATAGTAAAATAACTCAATGTTATTTTATGGGATCATTTATCAAAAATTCTGAATCTCATGATGCCTAGTTCTTCTGGTCTGCAGAAAGTTGTTCTGATACTGCATTCAACTGACTTCTCTGTCAAGAGTCAACAAATTGTGGTTGAGGAGGTAGCTCAGTGGTAGAGCACTTATCCAGCATGTATGAGGCCTTAGGTTAGATCCATAGGACCACAACAAGACAAACAAAAAGTAATGATCCAGATCAAAAGAAAACTAGGTTATACTTCTTAGATAAACTGACCTGAGCATCCCAAAATATTCTCACCGTGAATAAGCTGTTAGTATTTAACAACCATCTTTTCTAGAAAGTTATTGAGATCCCACTTCTCTAGTACTAAGACGGTGTGACACTAGTTGGCAGGTACACAAACGAAACCCAATTTGGAGTTGAGACCTGGAGCACACTGCTTTTGAGTAGTTCCTCTTTCCTGTATCTTGAACACCTTGGTGTGAAGCGAAGGAGTCCCAAAGCAATTCTATGTTCTATGAGAACTTTTCTATTTTGTGTAGATAATGTGTAATCCCATTTAGGTAGGGAGAAGGGGCCATCCCCAAAGTCAGAATAGGTGGAAAATCATTTTTTGTAGGATTGATCCTGGCTGGGGAATTAGGGAGGAAGGAGGATCTATGGGAAAAAGGGGAAGCTAGGAGGAGCCTCTGGGAGGCAAGGAGATGCCAGACTGAGGGGGTGGACCTGCAAGAACAGAGAAAACCCTAAGAACTCAAGGAACTCCATGTAGGGAGTGGGAGGAAGCAGAGATAGACACATCCGGGCACTAGAGGACCAAGAACGGAATTCTGGGGAAAGACCTATGTGGCAAGAGTGGAAGGGATGCTAAATGTAGAGGGCTGGGTATGAAATTATGGAGGGAAGTTCTGTGGGAAGACAGGAGGGGCAGATGAGGTCACAAGGGCCCAGGATGAAAAAAAAGATACCGGTGGGAAAGGCCTCGGCGTAAAATCCTAGAGGAGGCAACGAGGGTTCTGCCACCTGCCTTGCAAGCACAAGGACCCGAGTTCGAAACCCGACACCAAAAAAAAAAAAGAATGAGATGCGGAAGGGAGGGATCTAGGAGGAAAGGCGATCTCACGGTCAGCAACATGACTTACTTTCTCCGCTGGACCTGCACTGCTTTGAACACATCTTCCCGTTTCAGCACCACGAAGTCGCCGTCGCGAATGCAGTGGTCCCCAGGGTGCGGGGACTGTGCGCTCGGCTGCTCCCCGGAACTCTCCATGGAACTCAGCCGGTCTCCAGGGTCCTTGGTGTCACTCCAGTCCCCCGCACCTCGTCCCTCCTCTTCCACTGTCGCGGCAGCCAGCTTCGCCTCCCACGTCGCTAGGGACCTACAGGTCTCCGACAAGCACCACCCCCACGTGCTGCACACTGCTTCCGCTTTCCGGCTCGGATCTCAGGACCACTTCCGGGAGCCTTTCGGCGGCTGTCGCTGCGAACTCTCTGATTGGCTACACTTTGCTCCTTCCCTCCTACCGTCATTTCCTTAAACGGAAATTGCGTCAGAGACGCGCCAAAAACGACTTTTTAGGGAGAACTGGCGCTGTTTTGGGGTGGTACTGTGGTTCTCCGTGGTCTTAACGCTTTCGTGGTGTGGTGGTGAAAACAACTGAAGTTCCTAAGCTGCTGCGACGGGAGGGACCGGTTCCGCCCTGGGCCGTCAGGAGAGCTGCTGCCGAAGAAAACCAGAATATCTGGCAGGGGTCGCCGGAGGAGCTGGACTCTTCATAGACCTCTTGTGTTTCCCACGTAAAGGGAAGGGAGAATCAGGCCGGATGAATTAGAGCCTGGCTTTCTCTGCGGTCCTACCTCTTGTATTTATTACTTTTCGCAGCATAGTAACCTTTGAGAAGGTTATGGTAGGTAGTGTCATGGGAGCCCCTCATTTTTTAACTCGAAGACAGTTTTGCTGTCTGTACTGTCACCAAGACAACGTTAATCTTCGTCACTGTGCTTAATTTCCTTGGGCTTCAGTTTCTCAATGTATAATGTGTGGTTGGCGATCAAAGTACTGTCATTCCCTAAAATTGTGAACTGGTTATTAACTAAATCCTTTTAATATAAAAGATTCCAGTAGACTCGCATTAATTGTGGTACATTGTATGGGTATGTTCTTATTTATTTGTATACATAAGATGTGAATTTTTTAAGACTTTTTGAAGATTAGTTTTAGATTTATAGAAAAATTGCAGACAGCGGATAAGACACTGCAGGAGTGATGAACTGGAAGGAGCTGTGATGAGGTATCCTTAGTGTCTCAGAGACAGGTCAAGATTGTGTGCAGCCTGTACTATCCTTTAGTAAGTCTTAAATACTGCAAGCAAGTTATTTGTTTTATTTTTGTTTCTGTCATAGGGGCTCCTTGAAAACCTGTACCATATTGAAACCTGTTTTTATTCCATGAGCACAGTGGGGATTAGAAGAGTAATTTCAGAATGTTTGAGTTTTCCTCTGTCTTATGCAACTTTGCAAGACTGTGCTATTTTCAAACATAGAATACATAAATTTCCTTTTTTTACTACGTAAATACACTTTGAGGAACACTATTTCCATTGCAGTTTTTGTGAACCCTTTTCTAATCTCTCTCTTAGACAACATGAGTGGGACATATAGAGGTAGAGGATTGGGGCGAGGCAGATTTCAAAGCTGGAAAAGAGGAAGAGGAGGTGGGAACTTCTCAGGAAAATGGAGAGAAAGAGAACGCAGACCTGACCTGAGTAAAACCACTGGAAAACAAGCCTCTGGTAAGTGAGGTCAATGATTAATTTTTTTTCCATGGTGAAGGAAGTAATTCATGCCTCTGAGATAAGACAGTTTAACTCAAATGAGAGTCTTTCATTTGATGTTATTCTTTATCAAGTATTTGGATGTCAATATACAGAATTCTTAATGAAGACTGATTTAGACATTGTTAATGTCATGTAAGATTCTCATTGTTCAAAAGAGAAACAAATTGCAAGGATTTGCTTTGTTTTCATTAACAATATTTTTTTTTTTCCAGAACGTACCCCACAGCCTTTACTACTACAGTCGACATTGGAACAGTTCATACCATATAAAGGCTGGAAGCTGTATTTTTCTGAAGGTAGAGTTAAAAGTGCAAAAAGTACCATAAATTATATTTCCTCAACTTGTCTTTGGATGTTATATCTTGTATTACTGTAATTCATTTGAGTTACTGAGATATATCCTTTAATTTTCATTCTTCTAAACAATTAAATCGTACTTGTTAAAAAGCATTATATTTAGGCTTTGTATCAGTCAGGAAAACAGAAGCCACACTAGATATTTCAAAAAATGATTTTAATACAAGGAGTTGGGACTATCAGCAGGACTCAGAAAGGGAACACTGAGGTAACCTTTCAGGAAGTCGCAGGAAACAGCAGCCCTTCCTGTGGCTGAGGGTTACCAATGGAGTGCAAATTTCAATCAGAGAATCACAGCAGAAAAGAGCTAGTAATCAGCACAGGTTTGTATAGATACAGTTAAGGGATCTCCCTTTGATAATCAAGAATACCAGCCAGTATCATACATCTGTCCATATAGATGTGAGGAAGTGTCTTTTCTACACTCTTACAGTATCTGTATGGTATATCTCTTATGAACTGTAGGCTTTGTTTTATTCATATATATGTATCTGTGTTTTTCCCCCACTAGACTATACTGCTTGAGGTGAAGGACTCTGCCCCATACAGCCACTCAGTATTTATTTATTTATTTATTTATTTATTTATTTATTATTTTTGTACCTGGAATTGAACTTGGGACCTTGTGCTTACTAGGCAGGCGGCAGCACCACTGAGCTAAATCCCTGGCCTGTATTTATGTTTTAAATGAATAAAGTACTGTACAAAAATGTTGTTCAATGCAGCCTGTAAGGCTTATCCAAAAATGCTCTGTTCTTTCTGTGGCACATGCTTGTGTTGCTGAAGGCTAAATCCTCAAAATAAAACCTGCGAAGGGGGCTAATGATTCATTCAAGTTACTTTATGATTATTGCCACTAATGCTTATCCCATACATCTGATACATCAGACTGGTAATGAATGGGTTTATGGTAGCCGGGCAGATGAGTTGCACCTACTAGATAAGTATGCTTTGGACACAGTTGCCTATGGCTGCATTTCATACATAAAGCCTAAACTTAGATTGTCATTATGTTTTAGAATCATCATTGCCTCGATGTTCACACATAAGTTTTCCTAATAAAGGAGAAATGTATGTATGTTTATGGCTTTTTGTAAATATAAATGCAATGTGATCTGTGGCTTTTATTTTTTTGTTTCTGTGAAAATGTTAATCCATCCCATAGTTTTTTAACAGAAAAATGGACAGTGCAGTTGTTCTTTGTGTGTAAGAACTATTCCACAAAACTATTTATGTATATTTTTTAGTTTAGTTTATTAGTACATGTATGTAGTACATGTTTACATTCCTTGTGGGAAGTTGGTGATGTACATAACACATTAATTCCTTTTTACATCCCCTTTTGCTTCCGTCTCTTCTCTCCACCCATCTTGTGATGTTTTTCCCTTTTTTTGTACATGTTTATAGTACATAGTGTTTATATTTCTTCCCACAAAAACTTTAGTCACTTGAATTGTCCTAAGATTATTTGTAAAAATTGAAATCCAATGATTAAAAAGAAGCTATTATTCTTTAAAAGAAAGTCTATATTGGTAGTAGTCTATTTTTTTTCCTGTTAAATGAATGTGTTTCATAGATGACCTTTTGTTGCTGAAGGGGTATATTACTCAGCACCAACTGCTGTATTAGTCCCCTATCAGCTCAGGACACTGTAAACGATCTGTGGACTGGTCCTAAAAATAGAGCCATAGAGGGACTTTCGGTTTGCTTCCAAACTACTTCATTGTACTATTTCTCTGTGAGAGACAAATTTGAAAATATTATAGAACTTTAAGATGTTAGGAAAATAGCTTTACAGTTTTGAGTTCAGAGTCAAGCATTAATCTACTTCCAGATCTTGGGAAAGAATATGACAAATGGCAATTTGGACGGTAGAATTTACTATACAAAGACTGTCAATGTCTTAGCCATGTTTCAGAATAAAAATTTAGTTCATGTGTCTGACTTTGGCCGTATTTTAATGTTTGGTTTAGGCTTATATGTTAGGCTACTTAAATTAATACGTCCTTTTAAGCATCTAAAACTCAATACAAGGTTTCCCAGACAATGGAGCTTTTAGAGAGAGATCCTTCCTTGTCTTCATTTCAGAGTAGCAGGCCTAAACTTGATTTAGAAGCTCAAGTATATATTCCCATTAGTTTTTAGATAAAAAGATAATCAGAATACAAAGCAATTGAAAAAAAAAATTTGCCACACATAAGGTGTCTCTTCTGTTTCATGAAATACGTGCTTGTACTTCTGTGATTATTAGTGCTAATGCCATGTTTATTGGATTAGTTTACAGTGATAACTCTCCTTGTATTGAGAAGATTCAAGCATTTGAAAAATTTTTCACAAGGCATATTGATTTATATGATAAGGTAAGATTCTCTACCACAGAGGTACCTGTCCACCTGTATGTATCACCTTCTTGAACAGCATATTTAAAATGCTAGTGACTGTCATCAGAGGTGCAAAGCCAGACTGCCTGTGATCAGATCCCAACTCCACCTCTTACTGTATAGCACATACTTGGTGCACTGCTTCTCTATGCCTTAGTTGTCTCATTTGTGACCTGGCGGTAACAGTATAAATACAGTTTTTGTTATGAGGTATAAATTAATATGTTTATAATGTTAGAACCGTGCCTGGCACAAAGCCTGTGCAGTGCTTACCATTCTCACCTGTGTTATATGCCTTCCAAAGTATGTAATCCAATGTTCAGTTACGATAATTAAATAAAACAATTATCTTTCAACTTTAATAGGATGAAATAGAAAGAAAGGGAAGTATTTTGGTGGATTTTAAAGAACTGATAAAAGATGATGAAATAACTAACTTGGTACCGGATATAGGAAATGAGCTAAGGGATGCTCCTGAGAAAACCTTGGCCTGCATGGGTCTGGCAGTACATCAGGTAAGTATTTATTTCGTGCAGACTTTCATCACATTTTTAAAGAAAGACTTCACAGTGCTGGCACTTTCTTTATTTAGGTTTTACTAACAGAACCAAAATTAAACCTTGTTCGTGAGGAACTGTCCAGTCTTGTAGGGAAGCTAAGACGAGGCATGCTAACATCATCATTTAGGAATGCTGAGCAAAAAGACAAACCTCAGAACTAGGTTTTATGGCAGGAGGTGTCCATCTACAGAAGAAAAATAGTTCTGTGCCTGCCTGGGCTTTTCTCCCTGTCAGATGATACAGTGTATATGAACTTAATATTTTAGGCTTGCAAACAGATACAGTAGCAAATCTCAGGACAGGCCCCAGTAAAATGTTGTGTGTATTCAGAAGCAAAGAATACGCTTACCTGTTGGGGAAGAATGACGAAAGCTCGAAGGAAGACTTAGGACGTAGGACAAGTCTGAAGGTGGTTGGTTGAGTTTGGTCTTACAGCAGGAGAGATAGGGACGTCCAGGTGCAGGGACGGCTTGTCACAAACAAAGGTGTATGCTGCTGGAAACCCGGAACTTGCCTATTGTCTTCAGGCCATCCAGCTTATTATTTCCCCATAACCACTTCTTTCATTTCTCTTTCTAAAATGTCCCTTAAGTCGAGTGTGGTGGCGCATGCCTGTAATCCCAAAACTCTGGAGGCTGAGGCAGGAGGATCACTGAGAGTTCGAGACCAGCCTGGGCTACATAGTGAGTTCCAGGTCAGTCTCAACTACATAGTGAGACTCTGTCTCGAAAACGCCCCCCAAAAAAATGTCCCTTAAGTCTACCTGTTTTCCATCCTAATCACCTCTGTCTTAGGCTAAGGCTTTCATTATTGTTCCTGAATGATTTCCTTTGTTAAATATGAAATTGTTGCTCCATTTCACTACATGAAGCCAGCATCATTTAGGTGACATTGAAAGCCTTCTCAACCTCATCTCCACTACTGCCCATGCACTGACCCAACTGGACTGAGATCCCTCCAGCAGTCTAACTGGACATTACTCATGGTGTCCATTCACCATAGAATTCCCTTCACCTCAATAGCCAGATTCTTGTGGCCAAACTCAACTGACTCTCTCTAAAACTTTTCTTAGGACCCCTTTTCAAAACTCACCGTATTTTGCCTTTAAATCTTTATGGCACTTAAAATAATTATAGTTTTATATATGCATCTTATTTTGCCTCGTAGATTGTCAGTGTACTGTTTTATACACAAGTAGGTCTTAAATACTTTATGTCAACTGCCTAGGAAACTGATTTGGAGTATTTTTTTTCTATCTTGATTACTCAATGAATGTGGAGAAGTAGGAAAAATTTTTAATAGAATCCATGGGGTAATGGCTTTGAGAATGATATAAGGTCTTTTAATGTTAAGCTCACTTGGGACAAAAGGCGGCAGAAAGGGATGCTAATTTTCCAGTGTAGGGACAGCAAAATCCTAAGTAAAATAATCTGCCGTAAAATAAGTGGTCGTTATTGAATATAAGACTTTAAAGGCCCATACAGTCCTATTTACTTTCTTTTGAGGGGTTGGTTTTTTGAGACAGGGTCTCACTATGTAGTTGAGACTGACCTGAAACTCACTACAGGCTGTTCTCGAACTCATAGTGATCCTCCTGCCTCAGCCTCTCGAGTGCTGGGATTACAGGCCTGCGCCACCACGCACAGCTCCTATTTACTTTCTTTTTTGTTTTGTTTGGAACTGAACTTCAGGTTCTGTACAAAAAAAGAGTTCTTATTAAAGAGAATATTTTTCATCTTTGAGTAAGAATCTCTTCTCTTTAGGTATTAACTAAGGACCTTGAAAGGCATGCTGCTGAATTGCAAGCCCAAGAAAGATTGTCTGGTGATGGAGAAACAATGGTAAATGTGCCACACATTTATGCAAGGTAAGGAGCTTGCTAGTATTATTTAGAATAGGCGTTGGTGACTCTTTAAGAATGAGAACCCCAGGCTAGGTGTAGTGTACACGCCTTTATCCTAGTGCTTGGGAGGCTAAGGCAGGGAGATCACCATGCGTTCAAGGCCAGCCTGACCTACATAGACTCCAAAAAAAAAAAGTACCTCATTTTGTAGAAACCAGTAAATATAGTGTGAATTTCTTGATAATTTCGTTGATCATCCTAGCAAACACCCTGAAAATTATTCAAGGAAATGTTACATTTTCTACCCAAATAAGTTGATTTCCCACCTGAAAATTTTTTTGAACATTGGTATTCAATATGTACTTACCAACACATTGCTGTATAATTTTAATAATCCTTGTGATATACTAATTTTGTTAAATTATTAGATTTCTCCTAGATCCAAGAGAATAAATGAAAATTTTTTTTTTTTTTTTT